AATTATTACCTAATATCATTTCTGGTGATATAATTTTTAGGTTAATTATCGACGTAGTTACTCAATAAATGTAATTTCAATTTGCGTTTAAAAACAAAGACACTGACAGATCTAGTTACATTGATAGGAAGTGAGTTCCAAAATTTGGGACCAGTACAAGCCAGCGTCTTCAGAGCAAAAGCAGTTCTTACACGTGGAATATGAAGTGCAGTTGCCTGCCTTGTATTATAGCTATGAATTTGATTGTTCTTTCGAAATATTTGTACTAACGCATTTGGGAGAGTACCATTTTCAAAACCATACATAATTGCGCCTAACTGTATAAAGTAAATGTCTTCAACCTTCAAGAGCTTATTACTGTAGAACAAAACATTAGTATGAGCACGATAGCTCGCATTAAAAACAACTCTAACCACCCTCTTTTGGGCAACACAAATCTTATCTAATTGTGTTTTCAATGACTTCCCCCATGCCAGCACTCCATACTCCTTCTTCTTCTAATTCTTCTTGATTTGTTTTTGTTTGGCAATCAGTCACAGTTGACTATTTTTGCCACACACTATTTATTGAATTATTATATATATACATATGTACAATTTCATGTCATAAATGACTATTTTTAGGATTCTCCGATTCGGTCTAGTCTAGACTCTTCGCGAAAAAAAAAAAAAAAAATACGCCTCCCGGTCGTGATGTCACAAATAGTGGACCAGCTCCGTTACAAGATTTTCAATCGCAACAATGGTGACGACCATATAAATGACACGGTACAGCTTCCAAGAGCCTCAAGTATCATTCAGTACAAGCCTAGGACAGCAGTTGAAATATGCAGACAGCAATCCCCGACTCCCCGGGCTACAGCTTGTAACATCTACCTCAGGCCCCGTGAGCATTTTTCAAAGTGGGGGGGGGGGGGGGGGGGGGGGGGGCTGAAGTATTTACGATCAGGTAGAGCGTAGCATAAATTGGCATAAATTGGCATAAATTGGTAAATGTTGACTGACAGCAGTTTCTTTTGCGCACGTGTACAACTAAGCAAAGAGCCAAAGTCAAATATCATGCTTAGTTTTTGAGTTGCCTGCCACTACCACACAAACTAAGCACATCTTGTCTATATTCGAAAGATTTTATTATAATACGTAATATTTGATTTGATTTCCACAAAAACGCCGGTTTAGCCCATATGTGTATTAATTGTATGCATTTACGTGTATTAGTGAATTGAGGTCGTGTTTGGTGTGTTTACATTGAGTTTTAAAGGCCCACTGCACTACTTGTAGCTACTTGCGCCCTCTATATAACAAATAATGCCTAATCGGTGACCATTGGTCCCCCATGATCCTCTTTTTCTTATGTTAACTGAGAACTGAGTTGATGAGATAACCACCTGTCCAGTGATCTTGCAGGGCGCTCTAATCCCTCCTGTAAACTATGGCAGATAAGCTTTAAAGATAAATTTTAAGTAAAACCTCTAATCACCAATGGATCTCGTGTCAAAAGATGAATAATAAAAATACTTCAAGTTAATATCAATTTAAATTGAGTTATGTAGTATGTGAAATATGAATTTTGAGCCGACAAGGTGCTTTTTTGTAGATATATTTTCCCTCTAATTTGACCTTGGTATATTCACTAGACAAAAGTGATTGCACTTTAATATAGCAGTAGAGAAAGTTCAAATGATTTGGAGTGCTGAATGCAATTGATAAGTACTTCTTCTGTACTCTGTGATGTTTCAGGAACTGAAATACGGGCATTGCCAGTTGCCTTCTACCCCCACGCACACTATATGAACTATTCTGTGGCAACCCTCTCCATCTGACCATTTAGTGAGACGTTGTCATATGATAAAGACAACTATTTCAACTGAATGCCGGAGCGTTAATGTGATGTAACTTCTTTTCAATACCCACATCCACCCCTTTCGGAACAGTACACTAAGCTTTTGAAATATAGCTGGAACCTTTCTTCTTTCAAATTAAAATAAATTATTTGCTAAGTTTGAAGAAAAAAATTCTTATCTTACAACCATTGGAATACAATTTATTGCATGTATATTTATTTAATATACATGTATGTTCAAAATGCAATGTTTATATAGATTTTTTGAGTGAGAAATAGTTTTATCAAAATAGTGAAAAGGGTTTTACTGTCATATGTGATAATATTTTACTGTAAGAATTACATGTATATAGATCTAATATTCCATGATTGGTGCATCTGTCTGATTGCAAGCCTTAGGAATATCAGTCCAAGGCGCACAACAAGGGTGCCAATATTGCCAATATTAATGTTCCAAACCGTATCCCAGTACTTTTATTGCCGTTGTATAGAGTTTAAATAACATCTTGTGCGCACCCAAAATTGTTGGATTTGCATTTTGCATGTCATCTCAAAGACAACAAATGTCATACTGGCTTTTGTCAACCCAGCTAGGGCGTGGCCTGGGGCAGGCGAGCCGGAAGCAGTTTGAGATGGGGGGGGGGGGGGCAAACATTCCAGGGGGCTCATCTTCCAGGGGCAGTGGCGTAAATGAGCAAAAACTTTGGAAGGAGGGGGGGGGGGGGCAGAAGAAAAATATGCATCAACACCACTCTTACACGCTACGTGCAGGCCCGGCGGAACGTTTTTCGATCAGGTAGAGCGTAAATTGGCGTGGGGTCCAGGGCCTGAGCCCCGGCAGCGGGGTCAAGGGCTGAGCTCCCGAAAGCCCAGGGTTTTTAGGCATTACTTTACGGTCAGATAAGCATATTTAGATACCTTATTTGTGACACTGGCAGGTCACTAATTGGCGGGGAGTCAAGGGGGCAGAGCCCCCGAAAGCTCAGGGGTTTTAGTTATTTAATTACGGTTAGATGAACATCCAGGGGCCCTGTTTAAGGCCATTGATGTGGTCTAGGGGGCAAAGCCCTCTGAAGCACAGATGTTTTTAGATATTTAGATATTTAACTACGGTCAGATGAACATCCAGGGGCCTGCCGTAGGGCCGTTGGTGGGGTCCACGGGGCAGAGCCCCCGGAAGCTCGTTTTTTAAGGTATTTCATTACGGTCAGATAAGCATCCATGGAACCGCCCTAAGGCCCTTGGTGCGGTCTGGTGGGTGGAACCCCCGTAAGCTCCGGGGTTTTAGGCATTTCAATTTCATACCATGCTCATTCTATTATGCACACGCAGCCACCCCTAACACACAAAGATATGCAGGCAAGCCCCCCCCCCGCACTGAAATTGATTACCAACAAAAAAGATTTTTTGACATTTAAATTAAAATGCCCCTCATGCATATGAACACACCAGATAATTTTATATCATACATTCCTTAAATATCATTTGTTATCTTGTCTTCTTGATGAATATTACCATCCATTTTTTCTCTCTTTGTGACCTCACATGAAAAGTAATTACATAATGATTTTTATAGTATAGTATTTAATGTTCTATTTACTAAAAAAAGAAATAAAAAGGTTCACAGTACAAGTTCCAAAACAATGTTAAACCATTTTTTAATGTATTTCATGTAGGCATTATATATGTATGTACCATCAGATTTCATTAAAAATGTTTAGAAATCACGTAGCTAGAGTATTAAGATATGTCATATTCAAACGGTACTTCTCTGGATCTAATCATATTTCTATTCAATTAATTCAGCCAAAGTAAGCAGGTACATGTATTGTGTAACTTAATCTTAGAGACTTTACACTACTACAAATGTGAGTCAAAAAAGTTTACACCTAGAAAATTGCTAATTATTTAATTTTTTTTAGAATCAATAGAGGTTGTCATGTTTCCAACTCGCCTCTGAACCATTTGGAGTTTTCGAAATTGGTCTTGGCAGTGAGGGTCCCAAGCTGGTGAGGCATAGTCAAGGATGCAGCATACATATGTCATGTACGCCTGTTCCTTGATTTTCTTGGGGCAGCCATGCAGATTTCCTTGAAGGACTTCTCGTGTACTGTTGGCGTTCTTGGATGTGTTGTCGACATGTGCCTTCCAGCTAAGTTTGGAGTTGATGTGTACTCCAAGGTATTTGGCATTGTCTACAGTTGGAAGCTCAACTCCATGGAGTAAGTAAGGTGAACGGATGATATTGTTCACCTTGTTGGTCACTCGGAGGACTTCACACTTGCTTGGGTTGAAGAGATCTGCCACTTGGTTTCCCAGTCTTGCAGGTGGTTAAGGTCTTCTTGAAGTGTGTCTGCGTCGGTTCGTGAGTTGATGTGTCGGTATAGTAGACAATCATCTGCAAACATCCAAGCTTCTGAATGGACACAGTCTGGCAGATCATTGATGCAGGACTGCATTAATGTAAGGCTCGTTTCCTCCTCCACCACCTGTTATATGCTGGACCTAGTTTGTACTGCCACTCTGACCATTTCCTTCGGTTCTTTGTCCTCTCTCAAAAGATTTAGTTCAAGTCTCTGGCTTGCCCAGTTTGTTTCCAACTTTCTAAGCCTGACCTGCATGTTATACATGAGGAGCATATGGTCACTACAGCAGTCTTACCTTTTTCAAATCATTTTCAATTACAATAAACTCATGAGGGCAATAAATGAACACACGTCGTAATGCTTAACCTTTTAATAAGAAGTTATTAAACACTGTGAAGTATGGGGTGTGGAGGTAAGTTAATAATTTTTGTTGTTGTTGGTATGTTGCAGTTATAATTATGTTACTGATTTTCTAGTGAAAAGTTATTTTCTCTCTTTTGTTTATTTTATCATTTTGATCTTTCGGTTGAACTGCTGTGCTGTAATGGCACAGTCTATCTATACTACTCTGATAATTACGACACTATTCCACATTACACTTCATGTGTGCGTTTCTATCAGAATAATTTTCGTGGGCTTTGGGGATCTTTCAGGGTATTTGAAGTTCTTGCGTTAATTTTGACGTGTGCCTCTTTTAAATTAATTTGTTTAACAAAAAAATACTAATGCAAATTAACCGGATTTCAGCTACCTAGAATGTGTTTCCTCATTTTTCTCATAATTAAAGGCGTGGTTGCAAATGTTCTGCTTGGACGTTTTTCGCCTCGTTTGTTATGTATGGTTGGAGGGTTGACCGGTTCGGTGTGCTTGATGATGTGTTCTACCGTCCAAACCAACATCGAGCTCGCGGTTTTTCTTTTCAGCTCAGGTAAGGATTTATTCTGTGTTCTGTTGGAGGGGCAGATCCGTTTTTTCGTTAAAGGGGGGGGGGGGGGTACATTTAAATGAATGTCTGACAAGCAAAACAAAACAGAGGAACATTTTACGTTGCGTTTTAGTTTTGGGTCGCAAATTCGACGGAGGCACAGGAACACTACAGGATTTGTTTTCTTCTTTTGTTTACTTAACTTTTGAAATATTTTGGTGCTTATCATTTTTGACCAATTATCCTTAATTAACAAAATAATTTGTGCATACCGAAATGTCATATTCAACGTCAACGAGTAAATGTACTAAAATACTCAGTACTTAACTGGACATTCATCTTAATATTTCGATCTAGGGCTCGGATTCGCGATGACCGTCCTCCCCTCACAAGTGTCGGTTATATCTGCTTTTAAAGGCAATTACACGCTGCCGTTCTGTGTTAGCGCGATGGGTGGCGGTGTAGGAATGATGGTGCTCCCGCTCTGTACCCAGAAACTCTTGGAGATCTACGACTGGCGCGGAGCAATGCTCCTTCTTGGGGGACTCAATCTCCACACTGTGGTTTCAGGGGCATTTTTACAAGGAAAGGTGATGCAGAGAGTTTCCCCAAGAGACATATCAACTACAAGTGATACATCGACATCGTCGGTGTCGGAGGATGCTGCACTAGCTGCGCTACCACTCCGATGTTGGCGCAATGTTCGGGCACTTATTTTGATCGCCTACCGCAAGTCAGGTGTTAGCGTCTTAGGAAAATATCCACGATTGACCTATATGATAATAGTATCATACCTCCATGGAATTACGTACGCCGGTTGGACTATCTTCGTTATATCTAACGCAGAAGTAAAGGGTCTTCAAGAAGAAACTGCCGTTTTTCTGTCTGTTGTCGGCGGGATTGGAAACACAATTGGTCGTCTTCTACCAGGCGCCTTGAACTTTTTAAACAAAGACTTATTTCCTTCCAGAGTTTCGTTTCTAGCGCTTGGTGTCATTGGATCAGTGCCTCTATGTTTGAACTCGATAGCGACAAACTTTCCAACGTTGTGCGTCTTTGCCAGCCTCAATGGCCTTGCGTTAGGAACAAAAGCTATCACTAAGAGTGCAGCATCGGTGGACGTCGTTCCAGAATCGTTTTCGTCGACGGCCTTAGCGTTCGCATTGGTGTGTTCGGGGATGGGTGAACTAACTGGTGGATGGGCGACAGGTAAGGTTATAATTATACTTTCAAATGAAGGAGGGAATGGTTGAACAGATGCATAGGAAGAGGGGATAGCAAGAAGGGAGAAACAGCAAAATATATTGAAAAACTACTATGTTGACTTTCGGCTCGAGAGCAGAATTGGAATTACACACATACAAATCCTCATAACATAGTGTGAATTTTTACAACGAGTCACAATAACACGTGTTGTGGCAATAGGAAAATTATAGGTCATCAACAAAAATTGCCTGCTAGGCAATGTTCTGTCTAAGTCATTACCGGAAGTTTCACATTGAATTTACAATAATTAATCCTGATTTGCAAACTATTACGAACATCCAACCAGAAAATTGGCTGAATAAGATTTTTTTAAATGTATGATATGTACTTTTCTATATTGCCACATCACGTGGTGACACGTTATGAGTACGTAACCCCCCCCCCCCCATCGGCTAATAATGCTAATGCGCCATTTTGGGTGATAGTGCAAGGTAGATATTGGTTCTGACTGTACTAGACAGGGGGTATGCCCGGTACGTTCACACAAACATACGATATCTTGCTGGGTAGAGTGTATTAACCATCCGTTTTAAATTTCAAGTATTGCTTTTCTGAGGATATTCACGGATATATATTTCATAATTCATCTTTCACGATTTTTTCCCTCAAAAATCCTCTCTAATCCTTAAACAAAAGAATGTTAAACAAGGTACATGTAATCACGGAAGAGGTTTACGGTACACCATGTGTAAAGTCCTCGAGGGACTGAGGAAAGTGGATAGAAAATAGAAGTGAGATGGAAAGGCGAGAAAGTGGAGGTTGGAAGTAAGAGTATCTTTCGGAAGTGAGTATAGTCCTGAAAAGGACTGTAAACCAGAAAGTTGTAGGAGGGATGAGAGGTTTGAGTAGAAGACTGGATTGAGTTGGAGAGTTGAGTAGGCGAGTAGAGTTGCAGAGCAGGAGCAGGAGAGTAGACTCGACGTTTCGGACAGTCCTTTCCATCTCACTTCTATTTTCTATCCACTTTCCTCAGTCCCTCGAGGACTTTACACATGGTGTACCGTAAACCTCTTCCGTGATTATTCATACCACCATGCAAACCTTCAAACATCATCTGAAGGTACATGTAGTTTTTCGTATACGCTTGCAATAGTTCAATTTATAGCCAATGTCTTTTAATATTAATTAGATTTAGTGGGTAAAAGGGGAAAATATATGTTTAATATCTACCCAGCAAACATTCAAGTTCCCTTTTTGTTTAAAAACAGCTAATACTGTTTTGTTTTGTTTCGTTTTGAATGTATTTCTTCTTTTTTCTTCAAACGTCCAGGTAAAATCTGGGATGTAACAGGCTCCATGGATACAGCATTTTTGTTTCTTGGATGTGTAGATATCGTGGGTGTCGTCATTCTGTTGCTGGGCATGATCCACGAGAAAATCATTCAATTGAAAAACAAGACCAATGGGGCATCAGGAAATTAATTTTAAGGTGTACGTACAATTTTCTATGGAATATTTATCTATTTATTATTTACACATATTTATACAAATACACAAGATCAGAAATAAATCTCTTTTGCATCTTGGACCTGGTATTAAACGCATCATATAAACAGTAGTAACAATAACAAAGTATAATGAAGTAAAATACACAATACATCATAGTAATACAAAATATGGTAACATAACAAAAATGATTCTAAATATGAGTGAAGGCTACATATAACAATATCAACATAAATATAATAATATAAAAGTATGCAAATGTAAGGTTTCAGCTCAGAGATTGGGGGTAATTACAATGGATTCGCTTTTTATTTTTTGGTACAATAATTTGAAAATATCCAGAGACTGAGCATTTTGAAAGTTAGTGGGTGGTAGATTCCATGCTTTAGCACCGGCATATAATGAAGGCTGACAACTTAGTTGAATGTTTGGTTTAGGCGGCGCATCATTAAGGGAATTAGCAGTATGCATATTCAGTTCATGCCTTTCGAAAAACTTTTCAATCTCAATGCATAAACTGGATAGGGCAAGACCGTGAACACATTGGTACATCAGTTTAAATATCAAATAATCAAGTCGATTCTCAATTATTTACCAATATAGATATTTCATCAGGTCAAGACCAGAGGTATTAATATAATCGTAATTACCGGTTACATGACGAGCTGGCCTTTTTTTAAAGTCTCAATAGGGGTAATTACGAAGAAAGGTCGGTATCCTCTTTAAATTACAGCACTTTGTCCCGAAATATATATTGATACTGTTGTTTAAAAACTCTGATACAGCCACATCCCTGCTGGAAAGAACACACTCATTCACACTCATTCCCAGTGTGAATCACAGTGTGAAATCACACACTGTGAACACAGTGTGAAACACAGTGTGATTCACACTGTGAATGAGTGTGAATGAGTGTGTTCTTTCCTTTTCCGGTTATCCACACTGTGAACCACAGTGTGAAATGAATCGACCACAATGTGAAAACGCCCCAATTTAACATTGTGGAGCACACTGTGATTCACAGTGTGAATGAGTGTGCTTTTTCCTTTTCCGATTATCCACACTGTGAACCACAGTGTGAAACGAATCGACCACAATGTGAAAACGCCCCAATTTAACATTGTGGAGCACACTGTGATTCACAGTGTGAAACACAGTGGAATTGACACTGTGAATGAGTGTGTTTTTTCCAGCAGGGATATTACATATGGCATCGAGTTTTGGGGTAGTACTTATTAATCACACCTGAATTGTTTATTTTATACTCAAAAGATGGTTGTACGTGCTATAACTTTCAAGCCACATCGTTTGCATACTAATGCACTGTTTCATGATCTCAAATTGTTGAATGTCTTTAAATTGCATAAATTATCTATTTGTACTTTTGTGTTTGATTTCATAAATGAACGACTACCTCATTCCTTAAAACATTATTGCAGTATTAGTGGGGGCTGTTAGGGCTAAATAGGGGTGGTTTGGTGCAGATTCTTCTAAAAGCATCAAATTTGCCCCAGAGGTAGATTATACCATACTATTACGATTTCTTCCGGACGCCAAGAAGGGCGCCCTCTGGATATGCCATATTGGGCAAATCCAAAATGGCCACAATATGAGTTAAAGGTCAAGCGTAGTTCCAAAAGGAAAAGCGCTTGTATGATAATAGTTTATATATTTATGGGGTTTTGGGGGGTCAGAGAATCTGATTATGATGTTCTTTCATCGATTTGAGGTCTCCTTGGGGCTGCCATACTGGTCATATTGGTCAAATCCAAAATGGCCGCCATTTGATAGTTACAGGTCAAGTGTAGTTACGAAAGGGAATGGGCTAGTATGATAAAAGTTTATATATTTATGGGGTTTTCGGGGTCAGAGAATCTGATTAATATGTGCTTGTATCGATTTGAGGTCTCCTTGGGGCTGTCAAGCTGGTCATATTGGCCAAATAAAAAATGGCCACCATCTGAGTTACAGGTCAAGTGTAGTTACGATAGGAAACGGGCTAGTATGATAAAAGTTTATATATTTATGGGGTTTTCGGGGTCAGAGAAACTGATCATGATGTTCTTTTATCGATTTGAGGTCTCCTTGGGGCTGCCATACTGGTAATATTGGTGAAATCCAAAATGGCCGCCATCTGATAGTTACAGGTCAATAGTAGTTTCAAAAGGAAAAGAGCTAAAATGATAATAGTTTATGTATTTATGGAGCTTTCGGGGTCAGAGAATCTGGATATCATGTTCTTTTACCAATTTGAAGTCTACTTGGGGCTGTCATGCTGGTCATATTGGTCAAATCTAAAATGGCTGCAACCTTTGAGTAAAAGGTGAAGTGTAGTTCCAAAAGGAAAATGGCTAGTATGATACAAGTTTATATAGTAATGGGGTTTTCGGGGTCAGATAATCTGATTATGATGTTGCTTGTATCAATTACAGGTCTCCAGTGGGGCTGTCATGCTGGCCATATTGGCCAAATAAAAAATGGCCGCCATCCGAGGTAAAGGTCAATCGTAGTTCCAAAAGAAAAAAGACCAGTATGATAAAAGTTGATAAATTCATGGGGTTTCCGGGGTCAGATAATCTGATTATGATGTTCTTTTATCAATTTTATGTCACCATCCTGTCCTAAGGCTACAATGAAGTCCATTTCCTGGTTGAAGAAGATGAGGGAACATGCGCCCCAATTCACACTTGAGTGGATATAAATCTTGGCCAGCGCCCATAATTATGTTTCATCAATATGCAAACTTTCCTCTGTGAAATGCATAATAAATTCGTTTTCGAGGGTTGGCAATGAAAATAGATAAACAGTAGAAACAGACCATGGATAAAGAAATAAACAGCTTGTTCGATTTGTTTTGAAGCATTATATTCAAAGACCCGGACAGCTTATATCTTTATTATCCATAATATTAAATAACGTCTAGAAATAAAGGTCAAATCTCAACTTTATTTTTCTCATTCTTCTTTACATTCCGAAGCGTTGCATGGGATCCTAATCCTGTTTTTTTTCTACATACATCAATGCCCCCATTTAAGCATACTTTGAATCTGGTCACGCTTCGAAAAGTTCGTGGCCTAGCATTTTGCTTCTGTTGATGATTAAATAAAGAAAGCACCCTTTATAGATCAGGGAGAGTGTGAAAAAAAAGCACACAGTAGGAGCAGTGCAATTTAAAAATCAAGGGATGGATTAGAGTTTATTTCTAAAAATTGAAAGGAAAGGGCTATTTTACTTTCAAGAGACCTTTCATTTCATTTAAGAAATAACCTCTCTTTATATCTTAGAGACAATTTCTCTTGAGAGTCAAATAAACTCGAGAGCATCCTAAAGGCTCCGCCCCGGAACCCCAGGCAGGGGCTCTGCCAGGCCCCTATTGAAGCTGTGCCATATATTGTACGGATCTATAATAATAAATAATTTGTATATAATATGTATACATACATGTATATATAGATATATATATATATATAGTTCTCCTATGCAAACTTTTCTCTGTGAAATGCATAATAAATTCGTTTTCGAGGGTTGGCAATGAAAATAGATAAACAGTTGAAACAGACCATGAATACAGAAATAAACAGCATGGTCGATTTGTTTTGAAGCATTATCTTCAAAAAGTCGGACAGCTTAAACTGTATAACTAGTCAACTTTGGCCCCATTTAAAACTCAATGATCTATTACATTAAATTAATCATAAAGAATCATTAAAAATAATCTTGAATAACAAAGAACTATTTTGATATTTGTCCTAACCTAGACAATTTTGATTGAATTTTGAAACTTTGAAACGCTACATAATCAGATTATCCGTCCCCGAAAACCCCATGAATTCATCAACCATACTGGTCCTTTTCCTTTTGAAACTACGCTTGACCTTTAACTCGGATGGCGGCCATTTTTTATTTGGCCAATATGACCAGCATGACAGCCCTAAGGAGACCTCAAAACGATGAAAGAACATCATAATCAGATTCTCTGACCCAGAAAACCCCATAAATAAATTATATAAACTTTTATCATTCTAGCCCATTTTCTTTCATAACTACACTTGACCTGTAACTATCAGATGGCGGCCATTTTGGATTTGACCAATATGACCAGTATGGCAGCACCAAGGAGACCTCAAATCAATGAAAGAACATTATAATCAGATTCTCTGACCCCAAAACCCTATAAATATATAAACTATTATCATACAAGCGCTTTACCTTTTGGAACTACGCTTGACCTTTAACTCAGATGGCGGCCATTTCGGGTTTGCCCAATATGGCAGTCCCAGAGAGCGCCCTTCTTGACGTCAGGCAAAAATCGTAATAGTATGGTATAATCTACCTCTGGGCCAAATTTGATGCTTTTAGAAGAATCTGCACCAAAATATCCCTAACAGCCCCCACTATATGGTACAACATGAATATTCCACAAGACAAAAAATGGGTCGGCAAATACGTCTTCCTTTATTCAAAACAGACCAAGGAAAGTTTTCTGTTTCGTTTTTTGGAAGTAATTTTTGGAATATACTTCCTACTGATCTAAGAATTGAGAGATCAAGAACCTCTTTTCGTAAAAGAATTACAAAATTACTCTTTGGTGAAACCCACGTAATTATATACCGTAGATGTATATAGCAACCAATTTCGTTTTTTTTTAATAATTGTAATATTATACACAAATCTTATTTATAGGATTTGGAAACACATTGTGATTTTTTCAATGAATTATATCTCAGGTTTTAGATAACGAGAGTCAGACTCGACTAGCATATGTGCTATTTTTAACTCTATTTTACCATCGATCACAAACTCATTGTTAATAGTCATTTTATTTATTGTTTTACTTGGCACTAAAATTACTATATCTTTTGTTTCAATGTTTCCATGGTGGTGAATAAATAAATTCAATTCAATTCAATTCAGTTCAATTTCAATTCATTTGGACAGTTAACCAGAACTTAGACACCGTAATCAAGACAAGGTCAAATAGTAGATTTATATTTAGTATTCTACAGTGTCATGTTTAAGAATTTTCCTTATTTTCGAAGGCAATACATCTTGTCTTGGATAATCATTCCATTTCAGGTTTTCATGAATAATAGAACCTAAATACCTAATAGAATGGACGTGCTCGATGAGTTCATGGTCAAAGTAAATGTTAAGACATACTGATGACTTACTTGTAATTAGCATTGTGTTGGTTCTACTTATATTTATCTGTTTTACCAACTATTTAAAACGTGCACTTTATTTTGTAAATTAAGAGTAACATTATGAATATTTTCACCAGTAGATAACTACATCGTCAACATAAATAGAGCATACTGCATTATTAAAGGGATAATTGAGTTCTTGTTTCAGACCGCAAATGCCTTCAAAGTGCATGGCTATTACTCATATTCTTATTCATGACAGTTCTAGTGCTCTTTTAGGATCTAACATTGCTATGAAAGTAATTTTAGACCCCAAAATGTGTGAAAATGAGCCGATACGATCATACCAATTCAGCTCTATTTTAAATCATGATCAACGCATTCAAAGCATTTGGATATGTCAAGAAAGCATGACCCAATGAATTCCTTATTATCATTCTTCATGAAAATCATCAATTACACGGTGAAAGCAGGTAAGTGTCGAGTGATGAGACAGAAATGCATACTGGTCTACATTTATCATATCGCTTTTTTTTTTTAGATAGTTAAGTAACTGTAACTGCACTTCCTTCTTTAACATTTAAGATGCGTGGCATACTACGGAAATAGGGCGATAATTAGTGATGTCATCTACGA